AGACTCAGTTACCACGCACGGCCGCGCGCGCGTGCGCGCGTCGCACGATGCTCCGATTGAGAAACATGTAGGAACAAAAACCATGTTAACTTCGAAATCCAATTGGCCACCGTTAAGGGTTCACTTTAGTTTCCAAGCCAACATGGCTACTTTCTCATTGTGGACAATACAAGATACAAGACTCACCACGCGCGGCCGCGCGCGCGTCGCACGCTGCTCCACTTGCTGAACATGTAGAAGAAGCCATGTTAACTTCGAAATTCAATCGGGCACCACTAGGGCCCACTAGGGGTTCACTTTTAGCTCCCAAGCCAATATGGCGACTTTCCCATAGTGGACAACAACAAGAATCACCGCGCGCGCGCGTGCGCGCGTCGCGCGCTGCTTCTATGAATGAACATGTAGGAAACGCGATGCCGCTATGTCTATGTTAACTTCGGGATCCAATCGGTCACCGCTAACGGTTCAAGTTAATCCCCAAGCCATAATGGCGACCTTCCCATTGCCACTGTGGACGACACAAGACTCACCACCCGCGGCCGCGGGCGCGCTGGCCCGCGTCGCACGCTGCTCCGATAGATGAACACGTAGGAAAAATGCGAACTTCGAAATTCAATCGGCCGCCGCTAAGCCGCTAAGGCTAAGGGCTCGCTTTGATCGCCGAGCTGCCAAGCCAGCATGGCACTGCCAGATTGCAAGCGCGAGTGCCAGATTGCAAGCGCTGCGCGCGCGCGCGCGCGCGTACGAGCGTCGCACGCTGCTCTGATTGGTGAACATGTAGGTAGGACCCATGTTAACTTCGAAATCCGATCGGCAACCGCTAAAGGTTCACTTGTTCCCACAGCAACACGACAACTATCCCATTGTGGACAGCCACTACAAACTACAATGGCACAGGGCTCACCGCGAGCAGCCGCGCGCGCGCACGGCGCACGCGCGTCGCACACTGCTCCTATGTCCTATGTCCGGTGGCATTGGATGGATGTACAATGCACGACACGCCATGCGCACTTCGAAATCCAACCAGTCACAGCCGAATGTTCACTTTAGTAACGTCAGTTCCCTGACCAACATGGCGACTGTCTTATTGCAGGAAATACAGAAGCCACCACGCGCGGGCGCGAGCACGCACCGTTGCGCGCTGCAACAATGGGCGGGCGTGCAAGAAACACAAGTTAAGTTGGAAATCCAAAGCGCCACTGGTATGGGTTCACTTTGCACTTTACCTCCCAAGCCAACTTGGCGACTGCCCCATTGCGGGCAACGCAGAACCCGCCAGCTGCGGGGCGCGGAGGGGCGGAAGCCCCCCCTAAAGCCCCCCAGGGCCAGCGATGGGGGCGGAAAGGAGCGGAAGCCTTAATAAAGCCGACTTGGGCCAGCGCAAGAGAGGAGGGGGCGGAAAACCTAAGGCCCTAAAGACGTCCTAGGGCCCTAGGGCCAGCGGGGGGGCGGCAGGGGCGGAAGCCCTAAAGCCCCATAGGGCCGGCGAGGGGGCGGGGGGGGCAGAAACCTCAAAGCCCCATGCCATAAGGCCATAGGGCCTATAGGGCGTGGCGGGGCGCGGAGGAGGCGGAAGCCCTAAAGCCCCCATAAGGCCCTAAGGGCCAACGGGGGGGGCGGAAGGAGCAGAAACCCAAAAAGCCCCACGGGGCCAGCGGCGGGGCGCGGACGGGGGCGGAAGCCCTTTAAGCCTTTAAGCCTTCAAGCCCCCTAGGGCAGCGAGGGGGCGGAAGGGGCGGGAACATGGTAGTGGACAGCCCAGGATGCGCCTTGGCCGCGGCGCATCTATGGGCTGGTGGGAAGGCACATCTATCATCAAGAATATATGGCTATGGGCCGAGGGGTATGCCGAGGATTTCTGCTGGGGCCCTCCTCTCTGTGGCGCGAGCCTGCCCTTCTGGGGCTCTGCTTCGGGCGCCCCCCGAGGCCCGCCGCAGCCCCGAAGAGGGTTCAACAGGGCCCCCCCTGAGGGTTCCGAAAGGGGCCCCAAGAGGCCACCCACATTGCGCTCTGCGACGTTAACACAAAAATTCGGTGGGCTTGCGCAAGGGATGCGCCGACGCGATCTGCGCGATGGGCGTGCCGAAACGATCCGCACGAGGGTCGTGCAGAGACGGCCCTAGGCCCTGGGCCCTGGGCCCTGGGCCCTGGGCCCTAGGCCCTAGGCCCTAGGCCCTAGTAACCCTAGGCCCTAGTACCTAGTACCTAGTTTAGTAGGCCCTAGGCCCTAGGCCTTAAACTCTAGACCCCAGGCGCCTTGGGACCTTAGGCGTCTTGGATATCTTTGGCGCATGCTGAGCATGCGCGCCTGGACTTCGCACGGGGCGGGGCACGGGCCTGAGTGGCCGCCCCGCCCCGTAGGCCCGAAATGGCAACCCCACAACGGGCCTTGCCAGGCGCCCCGCAGCGCTCGGAAACAGCCTTCGACCCGTAGGCCTTCGACCGCCCGAATGAGGGGCCCCTCCGCCGCCAAGGGGCGCTGTGCCAGGGCGGTTAGCCGCGCTGAGCAATATCTGCGGACAGCGTGGCGCCTTGCCCTGGCGCAGGTGTTCTCGCTGATGGCTGCCGCAATGGGGAGGCGGTACCTTCGCGCCCCCCAGCTCTCTCGCACGATTATCTCGCACCATGCGCCTCAAGCTTCAAGATATCCAAGACTCAAGACGCCCAAGGCCCCGAGACGCCTACGGCGGCATACGGCATACGGCCTACGGCCTACGGCCTACGGCCCTGAGACACCCAGGGCCCAAGACGCCCAATGACCCAAGATGCCTAAGGCCCTAAGGCCCCAAGGTACCCAGGGCGCCATACAAGGCCCCAAGACTCCTAGGCCCCAAAACGCCTAAGACCCCGAAGTACACAAGACGCCTAAGGCCCCAAGACGCCTGGGGCCCAAAGACGCGCAAGGCCCCAACATACCCAAGGCCCAAGACGCCTAAGGCCTAAGGTCCCAAGACGAATGCGTCGAACGCGCACCCCTCACGCGGACCGATGTGGAACTCCCCCCCAAGAGACCCAGGACCGATCTCCCGTGCCCATGGGAGACGCGGGCTGCGCACAGACTCGCACCGACCGATTCGGATACCCCGGGCCCCCCCGAGAGACCCCAGTAGGCCTAACGGTCCTAACGGTTGGAGCCCGGGGTCCCTCGGGGCCCAAGAAGCGCCCCAGACTGCCCCAAGACGGCCCAGGAATGCTGTCCAGCAAGTATTTTTTTGAGAAGGCGCCCAACAAAAACTTCCCACGGCTGCCCAAAAGATGCCCGCAGAGGCCCCAGGAGTCAAGTCAAGGGGTCCCGAGGGAGCCCCAAGACTGGCCCAGGGGACTCGGAGAGAGCCCCGAGGCCCGAGACGGCCCCAGAGGCTCCCAAGAGGCCCCCAAAACGGCCCAAAAGAGGGCGCCAAGGCCAAGACTCAAGACGGCCCGAGGCGCCCAAGACTCCAGCAGGGCCCCAAGACGGCCCCAGCAGGGCCACATAACAATAATAACATACCATTTACGAAGTTAGTGGATGGACATCGGCTCAGACCCACAATAGACTCAATAGACTCAATAGACAATAGACCTAGGCGCAGTGTTGGGGTGGGCTGGGAAGAGCCCTCATCATGCCCACTCTTGTACGACTCCAGATTACATTGATGACACCTCTAGGTCCTAGGTCCCTAGGCCCTTTTCGTCTGGGGCCGAGGGCGACGCGACGCCGTCGGCCAAGTTCCGAAGCTAAGCTAGGCAGCTAGGCTCCGAGCACCCCGAGATGCTGAGCCACGGCGGCGAAAACCCAACCTCCGACGCTGATGAGTAAAAACACTCACGCTGCAGGCCGCGCCGGCCTCCTCCTGGGCAGGGCGCCGTGCCGCCGTGATAAAACTCGTAAAAGTAGCTGTTGGGCCCCAATTGGACCTCCCGCCACCGCGAACTCGAGGACCTCCCCGAGGTCCTCGTCCTCGTCCTCATGATCCTCATCAAGCCTTGAGCACCTCTTCCATTTTGCTGAAGAGCTGCTTGCAGAACAACTTCGCGGCGTCCTTCCTTGTGATGCGAGTGAACTCACGCGTGTGCTCCTGAATCCGATCCTTCTTGTGTTTCGAACCTATCAAAGCGTGGCAGCACAAACACTCGTGCTTCGTGATGTTGGCGCGCAAGATGGCCTCTGCGCTGGAGGCCAAGGCTGCGTCGACCTCGCCTGCCTTCTCCCCCGTCAAGAAGGTCTTCCACTTGGTCTTGTCCGAGGTGAGAACACCATGCTCCTCAGGAAAGAGGCCGGATGGGGAACGACAAATCAAGCGAACCGGGCCAAGGCCCTCGAATTTTTCAGCGCATCCCAAATCAGAACCCCAAGCGAACACCTAAGCACGAGGGCCCTGGTCGGAACAGCGATTGAGGCCCAGCTGGCCTCAGACTTTCGGGCACGGGGAGGGGCGATGCGGCAAGGGTCGCTGCGCCAAGAATCAATGACTTTTAAAAAACAAGCCCTGCTCCTGTTCTTTTTTCGGGGGGGGGGGGCTGGAAACAAACGGCCATGCCCAGCTCAGGTAGCTGGCGCTGCTTGCCAACGCGCAACTACGCATGACCTCGCATGGGATCGAAACGAAAACGCAAACTCGAACAACGCTGCCGATCCAAGCTCTGCAAGGTGTTTCTCGGGAAATGTCTCACTACTACTTTGGTACTTTGGTGGGCTCGGCCCTGCCTGGCCCTCACCCGGTAGGCCCTGCCTACCGGGTAGGGGGTAAGGTAGGGCCGGGTAGGGCCTTAGGGTAGGGTGGGGGGTAGGGTAGGCCGGGTAGGCCCGGGTAGGGCCTACTACCCACTACCCAACCCTGCCCAGGCCCTACCCTACCCTACCCTGCCCTACCCCCTACCCCCCTACGGGCCCTGCCCTACCAAGCCCTACCGCCCTACCAGCCCTGTGCCCCCTCCCCCTCACCTCCTTGCCGCCACCTCCTCCAGCCTCAGCCTCCGCCAACCCTCATTCGTCTCATCCCCCTCCTTGCCCATGCGTCCTTGTCGCACTTCTGCAGCAAGCGGTCCAACTCTTTCGTGTCGACCTTGCCGAGGGAGCCCTGGAAGTGCGTCAAGATGTCCGCGCCCACGGCCTTCTCATTGAAGCTCGCGTACCAGAGAGCCTCAGCGCCCGCCCCCCCCCGCCTTGGATTTCAGCAACTTCGCGGTCTCAACCACATGGGCCACTGCGGCGTCGCACTTGAGAACGGCAAACTCAGACAAGGCACCGCAGAAGCCGGGCATCAACGGTTCGAAACGTGCAACCAGTTGGTCCATGATCTGGTTGCTGGTGGGCATGTCCGCAAAAACGGGTTTCTGGCTGATGACGGCGGAGAGCTTCTTGTACGCGGTCAGCATAGCGCTCGAGATCTCTGGGCCTTTCCCACTCAAGTCTTTCATAACATCAGGCTTCGAGCTGTACTCAATGCAGACGGCAGTAGAGAGTGCAATTTTGCCACACTCGGCCAACGCCTCGCTCTGCGTCTTGCGGGTCTCCCAGTAGGTCTTCATAGCGGTGTCTGTGACGGTCAGCAGCTCGAGCATGTCTGAGACTTCCTTCGCCTGCGCCCAGGGGACCTCAGCGACAGACAACCAATTGAGAGCCCGCCAAGCTGCATCGACCATCTTGTCCTGGATGGCCTCCTCCTTGTTCTTGCTCGCCTGGCCCTTCACTGCGTCGTACAAGCTCTTGAAGTCGCTGTACTGCTTGATATCCTGCGAGATCGAGGATGCGAGCATCTCCTCGGCAGACCTGTGCACCCATGCTTCATGCATCTCCTTGATCCTCATCTGGATGGGCTTCGTGTCGCTCGTGGTGGTCAAGCACTCTGAAGCCTTCAACACAACCTGAATCCACGCCCTGTTCTCTTCGCTGAACTGAATCTGGTCCCAAGACCCCTGACTCGAAGCGTTATCCAACACAGACAACACGTGCCGTTGCAAAGATGCTGTCGCGTTCTCACGGAGGGCGTTGGAGGTCCAGCTCGGGGCCCCTTGGATCCACTGCTGCAGGAAGGGGATGAGATCCATCTTCTTCTTCTCGAAATCGATGTGGAGATCAGTCTGGGCTGACAACTCAACCATCTGCTTGCAACACTCGAGAAGCTGAAGCCCCATTGTCGCCTCAGCACCGACGACCCTCTTGTACTCATCCAGGCGGTGCTTCCAGAAGCCTTCCTTGGAGCGGAGTCGGATCTTGAGGAGCTTCGCAGTGCGGACTGAATTGCATATAACATCGAAAGACACCGTGGCAACACCCTCTTGCTCGGCAGGCTTCCGGGTCGATGGGGGGGCCAGGAAGTCGACGTCTTCGAGCTCGGACTGGAAAACAAAAGGAAACGAACAGGTGAGCGCTGCCACGCCCCGGATCGCCCGCAGGAAAGGATTCAGCAATTGCGTGAACGACTCATCTAAGAGCACATTATTGTCTTCCCGGATGTAGAACTCATGGAACGTCTGGGCGAGCTCGAAGAAGTCGCAAGGCATTTCGGATGTCAGAGTATTGTGGTCCTCAAGCTCGCTCATCAAAGACAGGAACCCATCGTTGAATAATGTGCCCCACCAATACTCCATTTGTGATTCATCGTCCTGGAGATGCGCCACCAAGGCAGACCACATCGGGTTGGCATAATCCCAATCAGAAGCTGGTTTGGGCGGGGGGACTGTCCAACACCCAGAGACATCATCGAACACAGTGATCGCTCGGGGCCACATGCACTTGACCCACGCTTCGAAGTTCCGCTCCATCAACTGGGCATGGCCCCACAACTTGTGAAACAGCATGGCGTTCTTTGGGGGCAACACATGGCCTTCCTCATGGAGGATCTCCAAATCAGGGATGACATCAGCAATCGGGTTGAACTTGACCATCGACTCGACCATGCAATTTGTGGCTGAGATGCAGACCTTAATCTCATGCTCAATGGTCTCAGCATCTGTCTTGCGGTTGGCTGCCTTCAGTTTCTTCATGCGCTCTCTCGCCTGAGCAGGTGACACTTGTCGGCGCTTGCCCTCTGCCCTGCTTGGCCCAAGTGATTCTACAATCAAACCCAACGAACCCCCAAGGCATGCGTAGTCCGTCGCCGTAGTCTACTGGATGATGGGCCTTGTCAGACAAAGCCCATCAGCCAATAAACTACGCATGGCTCTCGCTCGGGGGGCGCGCCTCCCCCCGGGGCCTTGGGGGGCGCTGGCGCGGGCGGATGGGGGCTGAGGCGTCGGGGCCTCTCGGATGGAATAACTGGATGGTTCCAATGTCTGAATGTCTCAGGTCTGACTCTAGATCCTGGACCCGAAAGCCCAACGGATGGCCTGCAAGATGGCTCCAATATCCCCCCATGCCGCCTCAATCGGCCCCCTTGCTATCAAAGAACTACAAACCTCAAGTGGAAAAAAAATGAAACAACCAAAAAAAACACCGGAACTAAAACCGCACCGAGTGCCATAACCTCACGCAACATCAAAACTAACAAAGAGCCAGTGACGCCCTGGCAAAATATAACGCAATGCACTCTGCCTCGGGACTTGATGCGCACCATTGCGCAACGGGCAATAGCTGCTCGACTGCGCGCCAACGGCGGGGGTCGGAAGCCCGAAAGCCCCCATAGGGCCTAGGGCCGTCGGCGGGCGGAGGGGGCAGAAGCCCGAAAGCCCCATTGAAAGCCCACATGGGCCAGCGATGGGGGCGGGCGGGGCGGAAGCCCTAAAGCCCCATGGGGCCAGAGGCGGGGCGCGGAGGTGGCGGAAGCCCCGAAACCCCGCGTGGCCAGCGAGGGGGCGGGAAGGAGCGGAAGCCCCAAGGCCCCACATAGGGCGCATAGGGCCAGCGACGGATAGGGGCTGAAGCCTGAAGCCCACTTGGACCAAGCGGCGGGGGGCGGAGGGGGCGGAAGCCCTAAAGGCCCTAAAGCCCTACAAAGGGTCAACGATGGGGGCGGAAAGGGCGGAAGCCCCAAAGCCCAATTGGGCCGGCGGCGGGGGGCGGGGGGGGCGGAAGCCCAGGCCCTAGAACCCCATAGGGCCAGCGACGGGGGCGGAAGCCTGCAAGCCCCACGAGGCCAGCGGCTGAGTGCGGAAGGGGCGCGAGCCCTAAAATTAGCCCTGCAGGGCCAGCGGCGGCGCGCGGAAGGGGCGGAAGCCCTGAAGCCCCATGTGTCCAGCGCGGGGGGGGCGGAAACCCTAGAGCGCCATCGTAGAGCCAGCGGCGGAGTGCGGAGGAGGTGGGCGCCCCCCTAGCCGTAGCCCCATGGGGCCAGGGCGAGGGGCGGAGGTGGCGGAAACCCCGAAACCCCAAGGGGCCAACGACAATGCAAGACTCACCGCGCGCGGCCGCGAGCGCGCGTACGGCGCGCGCGTCGCACGCTGCGCCTACAAGCATGGGGAAACAATCCAATCGGCCACCGTTAAGGGTTCACTTTAGTTTCCAAGCCAACATGGCGACTTTCCCACTGCGGACAATTGAAGACTCACCACGCGCGGCCGCGCGCGCGCACGCGCGTCGCACGCTGCTCGCATTCAAATTTATGAGATTGTATGAACAGCCATGTTAACTTCGAAATCAATTCTGTCGCCGCGAAGGGTTCACTTCAGTTTCCAGGCCAACATGGCGACTTCTCACTGTGGACAATGTCCAATGTAATACCCACCACGCGCGGCTGCGCGCGCGTACGCGCGTCGCACGCTGCGCCCATGAACATGTCGGGGAAACCATGTTAACTTCGAAATCAAATCGGCCACCGCTAAGGGTTCACTTTAGTTTCCAAGCCAACATGGCTACTTACCCGTACCCATTGTTGACAACACAAGATTCAGCACGCGCGGACGCGCGCGCACGCGCGTCGGACGCTGCTCCTATTGATGAACACGTAGGAGAAGCCATGTTAACTTCGAAATCCAATCGGTCGCCGCTCAGGGTTCACTTTAGTTCCCAAACCAACATGGCGACTTTCACATTGCGGACAATACAAGGCCCACCACGCGCGGCCGCGCGCGCGCGTACGCGCATCGCGCGCTGCTTCTAAAGATGAACACGTCAGAAAGCAATGTTAACTTGGAAATCCAATCGGGCACCGCTAAAGCGCTAAAGGTTCACTTGGCTTACCCAGCCAAGATGAAGACTTGCCAGCGGTGGGCAAAACTCAATATCACCACGCGCGGCCGCGCGCGCACGCGCGTCGCACGCTGCCCCCATGCCCGATGGATGAACAGGTCAATGTAAGACTGACACTGTAAAGCCATGCTAACTTCGAAATACATACAACCGGTCACCGCTAGCTAGTAGCTAGTGAGCTAGGCTAGGTAGCCCCTGAGGGCACACTTTGGTTTCCAAACCAACACGGCGCCTTTCACATTGTGGACAACACAAGACTCACTTACCACGCACGGCTGCGCGCGCGCACGCGCGTCGCACGATGCTCCAATGGAGAAATATATATATATTAACAAAAACCATGTTAACTTCGAAATCCAGTCGGCCACCGTTAAGGGTTCACTTTAGTTTCCAAGCCAACATGGCTATTTTCCCATTGTGGACAATACAAGACTCACCACGCGCGGCCGCGCGCGCACGCGCGTCGCACGCTGCTCCAATTTCATGAACATGCAGGAGAAGCCATGTTAACTTCGAAATTCAATCGGGCACCACTAGGGCTAGGGGCTCACTTTTAGCTTCCAAACCAACATGGCGACTCTCCCATAGTGGACGACAGCAAGAATCACCACGCGCGCGTACGCGCGTCGCGCGCTGCTTCTATGAATGAACATGTAAGAAAGGCGATGCCGCTATGTCTATGTTACCTTCGGGATCCAATCGGTCACCGCTAACGGTTCAAGTTAATTCCCAAGCCAACATAGCGACATAGCGACTCTCCCATTGCCACTGTGGACAACACGACAACACAAGACTCACCACCCGCGGCCGCGGGCGCGCGGGCGCGCGTCCCACGCTGTTCCTATAGATGAACACGTAGGAAAAAAGCCATGCGAACTCCGAAATTCAATCGGCCGCCGCTAAGGCGCTAAGGCTAAGGGCTCGCTTTGATCGCCGAGCTGCCAAGCCAGCATGGCATTGCCAGATTGCAAGCGCGATTGCCAGATTGCAAGCGCTGCGCGCGCGTACGACGTACGAGCGTCGCACGCTGCTCTTATTGGTGAACATGTAGGTAGGGCCCATGTTAACTTCGAAATCCAATCGGCAACCACTACGGGTTCACTTTAGTTTCCACAACAACACGACAACTGTCCCATTGTGGACAATACAAACTACAATGGTACAGGGCCCACCGCGCGCAGCCGCGTGCGCGCGCGTATGGCGCACGCGCGTCGCACACTGGTCCTATGTCCGGTGGCATTGGATGGATGTACAAATGCACGACAAACCATGCGCAATTCAAAATCCAACCAGTCACCGCTAAGTGTTCACTTTAGTAACTTTAGTTCCCTGACCAACTTGGCGACTGCCTTATTACGGGGAATACAGAAGCCACCACGCGCGAGCGCGAGCGCGCGCGTCGGAGCGTTGCGCGCTGCAACAATGGGCGGGCGCGCAAAAAACACAACTTATGTTGGAAATCCAAAGCGCCACTGGTATGGGTTCACTTTTCACTCCACTTCCCAAGCCAACTTGGCGACTGCCCCATTGCGGGCAACGCAGAAACCGCCAGCGGCGGGGCGCGGAGGGGCGGAAGCCCCGGCCCTAGCCCTAAAGCCCCCAGGGCCAGCGAGGGGGGCGGAAAGGGAGCGGAGAGAGGCGGGGCCAGCGAAAGAGAGGAGGGGGCGGAAACCCTAAAATTTCCCCCTAGGGCCAGCGGCGGGGGGCGGAGGGGGCGGAAGCCCTAAAGCCCTAAAGCGCCAAAGGGCCGGCGAGGGGGCGGAAGGGGCAGGAACCTCAAAGCCCCACGCCACTAGTCACTAGTCACTAGTCACTAGTCACTAGTCAGGCCCTAGGCCATAGGGCGCGGCGGGGCGCAGAGGGGGCCCAACGGGGGGGCGGAAGGGGCAGAAACCCTAAAAACCCCACGGGGCCAACGGCGGGGCGCGGAGGGGGCGGAAGCCCTTTAAGCTTTAAGCTTTCAAGCCCCCTAGGGCTAGGGCAGCGAGGGGGCGGAAGGGGCGGAAACATGGTAGTGGACAATTTCGAGCCCCTACAGTGGCCCTACAGACGGCCCAGGACGCGCCGCGGCCGCGGCGAATCTATGGGCTGGGTGGGAAGGCACATCTATGATTTAGAATCTATGGCTATGGGTCGAGGGGTGTGCCGGGGATTCCTGCTGGGGTCCCTCCTCTCTGTGGCGCGAGCCTGCCCTCCTGGGGCTCTCTGGGGCCTGCGTCGGGGACCCCCCAGGGCCCGCCGCAGTCCCGAAGAGGGTTCAACAGGGCCCCCCCTGGGGGGTCCGAAGGGGGCCCCAAGAGGCCACCCACATTGCGCGCTGCGACGTTAACCAAAAAATGGCAGGCTTGCGCAAGGGATGCGCCGACGCGATCTGCGCGATGGGCGTGCCGAAACGATCCGCGCGAGGGGCGCGCAGAGCCCTGGGCCCTAGGCCCTAGACCCCATACCCTATAGTATTATAGGGCCCTATAGGCCCTATACCCTATAAGCCCCTTGGGACCTTAGGCGTCTTGGATATCTTTGGTACATGCTGAGCATGTGCGCCTGGACTTCGCACGGGGTGGGGCACGGGCCTCGAGCGGCCGCCCCGCCCCGTAGGCCCAGAATGGCAACCCCACAACGGGCCTTGCCAGGCGCCCCGCAGCGCTCGGAAACAGCCTTCGACCCGCAGGCCTTCGACCGCCCGAATGAGGGGCCCCTCCGCCGCCAAGGGACGCTGTGCCAGGGCGGTTAGCCACGCTGAGCAATATCTGCGGACAGCGTGGCGCCTTGCCCTGGCGCAGGTGTTCTCGCTGATGGCTGCCGCAATGGGGAGGCGGTGCCTTCGCGCCCCCCAGCTCTCTCGCACGATTATCTCGCA